TGAGGGCTCTGAGAGGCACCTGGTCCTGTTTTCTCACTTAAATAACCTCTCACCCTACAGAGAAGCCCTGATTCCATTTGCTGTCTTTCTTAGCAACGTCTTAGCAAACGTCTTCCATTTGTCACACGGGTCCAAGCTTCCGCTTACTAAGCACCCACGTGCCAGACAACCCCAGAGGCAGGTATTCCCATTGTCCCTACTGTACAGATGAAGAAACTGAGCTCAAGGTCACACAAGTGATAAGGGGTGGCAGAGATCTGAAGCTGTGCGCGGAGGCGTGGCCAGCGTGTGCGCTCCAACTCCTAAATCCCTACTCTGGATATTGAAGACGGCAAGGACCAAGCCGCTCATTCTACAGATGGGGAAAAGCGAGGCCTGGGGAGTCCCAGAGCGGGTGCCAGATCGTAGGGAGCTGCCAGCACCCCGGTCCCCTCCACGACACAACCACGTCCCTCGGCCACTTCTGGGTCCTGAGCGCGTCTCGGACGCAGCAGGATATCTCTAGGACGCACGGCAACCCAGCGGCCGAAAGGAAGAGCAGGGGCGGAGGCTCGGAGCGGACTTACCAACTCGCCCCGGAAGCTCCGAGGCCCCGCCCCGGCGGCCGCCAGCGGGGGGGCGTGGCATCGGCGCGCCCCCGCCCCGCCCACGCCGCGCGCGCCCCCGCCCGGCCAGTCTCGCTGCGCGCGAAGGCCGCGAGCGCGAGCTGAGGCCTGGGGAGGGCGCGGCGGCGGGCCTGGCCTCGCGCCTTCCCTGTGGGCCGCACGCACCTCCGCGGAGGTATCGGAGGTCGTGAGCGGCCGTGCCGCCTCACAACGCGCACCTGTTCGGCCGACGGGCCCTGCGAGAGAGGTGCGGTGCCGGGGCGCACGAGAACGCCTCGGGAACGGGCCGGGCCCTCAGCCCGCCCGGCTGTCCCGGAGGTAGCGGCCCGCCGCCGCCAAAAGGAAGTAGCGCCCCACGCCGCCCGCCGCCGCCCGCCGCCGCCCCGCGCCTCCACACCAGCGCTGTCCGCCCGGCCGAGCCGGCGCCGAACCCCGGAGCTGCGCTGCCGCCCGGAGCCCTGGTGCGCTTGGCCTCGCTCAGGAGGCGGCCAGGGTCCCTCCAGGGTCGCTCCGAGCGGCCGAGCGGTCCTTTCCTGGGCTTCCCGGAACTGAGTTACAGGAGAGGGGGAACTCCGTGCTTTACCCGGGACCTGCTTAGTCTTTGGCATTGATTGGCCCTCGGGTTTCACATAGCGTTTCCCGTACCGGGATCCAGTGAACAGTTTTCCAGAGGCAAACCTCTCTGGATGTCTGAAAATCAGTTCACCCAACCTTGAATGCTTAGCCAGAGGAGAGAACTTCTGGAAAGAAGTGTCCTTCCCCACTCCCCGTGCACCCCCAACAGGCCCATGGATCATGAAAGGCAACAGATGAGGGAAAACTGGTGTCAAATGGGCATATTTTTTATTTTTTATTTTTTTAACTTTTTTATAAAAGATGGGGTATTGCTCGGTTGCCCAGGCTGGAGTGCAGTGGCACAAACACGGCTCCCTGCAGCCTCCACCTCTTGGGCTCAGGCCATCCTCCTGCCTCAGCCTCCCGAGTAGCTGGGACCACAGGCGCGCACCACCACGCCTGGCTTTTTGTAGAGACAGTGGTCTCACTATGTTGCCCAGGCTGGTCTCGAACTCCTGGGCTCAAATGATCCTCCTGCTTAAGCCTTCCAAAGTGTTGGGATTACAGGTGTGAAGCACCACACCCAGATAGCATATTTTAAATTAGGCATCATATCCCTTTAATTTTTCATCATTATGATTGGAAGGTCATGATAAGCTGTCTGAGTTTTTCCTTGGCATTTTTCTGTGGTGGATGGTTAGTTGTTTGGTTTTTTTTTTTTTTTTTTTTGGTAGGTACGGAATTTCACTCTTGTTGCCCAAGCTGGAGTGCAATGGCACGATCTCGGCCCACTGCAACCTTCTCCCTGGTTCAAGCGATTCTCCCACCTCAGCTTTCTGAGTAGGTGGGATTACAGGCGCGTGGCACCACGCCCAGCTAATTTTATTTTTTAGTAGAAACGGGGTTTCACTGTGTTATCCAGACTTGTCTCGAACTCCTGACCTCGGGTGATCCACCGCCTCGGCCTCCGAAAGTGCTGGGATTACAGGCCGCACCTAGCTGGTTGGTTTTAACAGCAGTTCAAGAAGCTAGCAAGAAGGCCTTCATTCGTGATGCTAATGGTTTAATGATAGAAACTAACATTTCTGGCGGGGCCCAGTGGCTCACTCCTGTAATCCCAACACTTTGGGAGGCCAAGGCGGGCAGGTCACTTGAAGAGTTCAAGACCAGCCTGGCCAACATGGTGAAACCCTGTCTCTACTAAAAATACAAAAATTTGCTGGGCCTGGGGGCAGTGGATGCCTGTAATCCCAGCTACTGGGGAGGCTGAGGCAGGAGAATCGCGTGAACTGCCCCGCCTCAGGTGGTGGAGGTTGCAGTGAACCAAGATTGTGCCACTGCACTCTAGCCTGGGTGACAAAGCTAGACTTCATCTCAAAGAAAAAAAGCAGCTAGGATTTCTTGGGTGCTTACTGTATGCCAGGCATTGTGCTAAGTGCCTTGCTTCCCATTGACTTGTTTTCCCATTTTGTGGTTGAGGTACAGAGAGGTTAAATAACTTGTCTGAGGGCACATAGTTACTGAGTGGCAGGGATTTGAATCCAGAATATTCTCATGTAACCAGTTCTCCAAAAACTAGCCCTTGAAGGTCTTCCAGGTTTCAACAAAGCAACTGAGGCTTATGCATGATGTCTTCCTGATGTCGGAAGGAAGAACTGTGAAAGGCAAAGCGAACCCGGGAGGCCGAGGCTGGTTACCGCGGTTAGTGTTCGGAACAAATTGACTTTATGGAGCAGAGAAATAGCCTGTCTGGTTTAAACCACTGTTCAGTATCTACACTAATACAGTGGTCATTTTGCCATTCAGAGATGTAGTCACATTTTACAGGAAGGTTAGCTCTGGGACCAGACTGTCTGTATTCAAAACCTATCACCTCTAGTTGCTTAACCTTCAGTAAGTTATTTGACTTCTCTTTTTTTTTTTTTTTTTTAGACGGGGTCTGCTCTGTTGCCCAGGCTGGAGTGCAGTGGCACGATCTCAGCTCACTGCAACCTTCACCTCCTGGGTTCAAGTGATTCTCCTCCCTCAGTCTCCCAAATAGCTGGGATTATAGGCACCTGCCACGACGCCTGGCTAATTTTTGTATTTTTAGTAGAGACGGGGTTTCACCATGTTGACCAGGCTGGTTTTAAACTCCTGACCTCCAGTGATCCTCCTGCCTCAGCCTCCCAAAGTGCTGGGATTATAGGCATGAGCCACCACGCCTGGCCACATTATTTGACCTCTCTTTGCCTTAGTTTCCTCTCTACTCACTGCTAAAATGGGGATAATCATGGGACCTACCTCATATGGTTGTGGCAAGATTTAAATGGTATGATGCATGTCACACTGATAGCCGAGCATTTGGCATATAGTTAAATACTCCATAAATAGCTCTTTTATTATTAAAAGTGTTGTTCCAAGTAGTAAGCTGCTGCTAATGTGTACTGTGTCACAGTGCTTGAAGTCACCATTAGAGATGTATTCCTTTGTCCATATTTCAAATGCAGAAATGACAGTGGTCCTGTGCAAATGGGATTTATTTGTCCATTTAGCAGATATTTATAGAGCGCCTTCTGTATGCCAGGCCTTGTTTTGGATACTGGAGGTACTGCGGAGAACAAAACAAACAAAAGTCCCTGTCCTCATTGGCACGCACACTCTTGGGGGAAGGAATGGCAGACAATAGGCAAAATGAATGTAATTATCATACAGTATATTAGAAAGCGATGTACTGCAGAGAGAAATAAAGCAGGAGAGGAGGATGGGGGTGGGCGGTTTACAATTTTAGAGTGGTCTGAGTAAGCCTCACTGAGAAGATGACATTTTAGCAAAGAACTGAAGTTAGTGAGGGAGTAAACCACGTGGACATGGTGGGGGACTTGGGGGGGTTGGCCAGGCAGAGAGAACAAGTGCAAAGGCCCTGAGGCAGGAGGCTGGGCAGCCAGAGCCTAGATGGGCAGGATGGTAAGAGAAGAGCTCAAAGAGGTAATGGGTGGGAGGCCAGAATGTGTAGACTCTGCAGACGTCTGCACAGAGGAATGGCATGATCCAGCTGGAGCTATAAAAAGGTCACTGATTGCCGTGTTGAGGCTCAACCATAGAGGGTCCGGATAGACAGAGGAGACCAATTAGGAAGTTCCTGCAGTAATCCAGACAGAGATGACGGTGGCTGGCACCGGAGTGGAGTGGTGGAAGGTGGTGAGAAGCAGTTGTATTCTACATAATTTTGAAGATAGAAACTACAGGATTTGCTGACAGATCAGATGACCTCAAGGTTTCTGGGTCTGAACACCTGGAAGGATAGAGTTGCCATTTACTGAGAATGGGGAAAGCTACATTGGAAGCAGGTTGGGAGAGAAATCAGTTCAGTTTTGTACATATTAAGTCTGGCAAACATCCCACTCATGCTCTCAGAATAGCAATTGACTGCATGAGTCTGGAGTTTAGGGGAAGTTCGGGCTGTAAATAATGACTTGGGCAGCTAGGCAGTTGTGTGCTGGTAATGTTTACCAACTGACTCTGTGAGTGGTGAGGTTGCCCTGATTTATAGCCTTTGCCTATATCTGTGGTGTAAATATTCCCACATTGGCCAACTTCAAATACACTATAATATATTTTCACCTCATAGATGCAGTGGATATAAATAATATCAAGAGCATAGATATTAGTGAAATGCAGTCAGATGATTAGGAAGTAATGAGTTTTGAGTATTTATTACCTTTTTAATTTATGTAATGAATTTTTTTTTTTTTTTTGAGACGGAGTCTTGCTCTGTCACCCAGGCTGGAGTGCAGTGGTATGATATCTGCTCACTGCAACCTCCAGCAGTTTTCCTGCCTCAGCCTCCCAAGTAGCTGAGATTACAGGCACCTGCCACCACACCCTGCTAACTTTTGTATTTTTAGTAGAAATGGGATTTCGCCATGTTACCCAGGCTGGTCTCGATCTCCTGGGCTCAAGTAATCCTCCCGTCTCGGTCTCCCAAAGTGCTGCAATTACAGGAGAGGTACCTAAAGATGGGAATGAGGATTCTCTGAGATGAGAGAGGAACAAGGACCCCAGAGCCCGATATGGAAGCTTTTGTCCCCATTCTGGCCACGAGGGCAGTGAATGCAGATCAGAGGTCATTGATAGCAGGCTTGATTTTTATCTGCATTGATGGGTTCAGCATAAATGGACCAGAACAGGAAGAGTGCAAAAAAGAAAACAAGCAAACAAAAAAACCCCAAAAACCTTGGGTTGGCTATTGTAAAAAGACTACGCACATCGCCGTGTGCTTTAGTTTCAAATGATCTTTAGTTTGAACTTTTGTTTTACTCCCACATGTTCTTTTTAAAAAATTCCAAACTCATGGGTCATGATTTGAAGAAAATTTCCCTTCCTCCTGCCTGGCGCACAGAAGGTAACGTCAAAAGCCGGGAAAGGGAACAGGGCAGCAGCAGACATTGACCTTTACCTCCCAGCTCCTCTCTCCCACCCCTTGTCGGCTGGGCATAAGAGGATTAGAACTGCTTCCTCCTGTGGTTTACCAGAAAACGCTCTGCGGCTGGAGCTTCAGCACAGGCTGGGTCTGTCTGTGCTGGGTCTGGTTGGGGACAGCTGCATGCCTCTTCCGCTTGGGTGAGAACAAAGGCCGGAACCTGGATTCTGATCCAAACCCCCTGGCTGGCCAAGCCAGTGCTCTCACCTTCTGGGATGTTAGCAGAGCCTTTTAACTGGTAAGTCTCTCCCAGGATGACTGGTAGGAGCCTCTCAGGAGTAGAGTTGGAGACAGTGAAGGATGCCCAGGACTGGGTTCATGTGCCCACAGTCGGCCCTGGCTCTAAGATGAGCCATCAGAAGAAGGTCTTTTCCACCTCCCTACAGGATGCCCCCACAGCACTTTGTTTCGTAGTGAGTGTATTTCTGGCAAGTATCTTAAATAAGAATTGTAAATGAAATTGCATCCTCCACACACGTAAGTTACAGCTTCAAGAGTTTTTGTCTTAACTGCTGAATGACGCACAGTTCTCAGCTCTTGGCTTCATATTTTAGTTCTGTTTCCCTGCCTGGCTGCAGAGGTCAAGGCTTGAAGCACTCATTTGCCTTATAGAAAAGTGGAGGGCAGTTCCCAGATAATAGGGTGCGGATCTCCTTTCCTCGGAAAACAGGACTTGGGGACACTAAAAGATCACACAGATCCTTTATCTCACCCTCCCATTTCCTAGTTGAGGAAACTGAGGCCCAGCCAGGCTAAATGACTTGTTCAAGGTTATGCGGTTGTTTAGAGGCAGGGCCTAGACAAGAGCCACCGCGCAGTCCAGTTCCCAGTCTGATGCCCCCTCCTCTTAGAGCTACTCAAACTTCTCACTAAAGATTTTCTCACTGATTTGTTCATTTTTTGAAAAGAAGGGATTCATAGTTGGATAAGCCTTTGGAAGGCTACTTCCATGCTCTTTGACTAACTTCAAGTATGTAATTTCAGAAGCTTTATTTGATAGGCCATTCCTCTCAGAGCAGGCAAGGAGGCAGAGGGGAGAAGTGCTTCAGAGGAACACCTTCTGAGGCAGGGCCTTGCAGCGTAAGGAGGAGGCGTGGAGCCCAGGAGATGTGTTAGAGCTGTGGGTGCCTCTGCTCCAGAGGCTGGGGTCCCTCTGTGCCTGACTTTGACTTAACTGGACTTCTCTGGGCCTGCTTATATCCCTGTCAGGACAGCAGGGAGGATGACCAAGCCAGCCTTCCTCCTGCTGCTTCCAGACTAGTCGGGAGTGTTGAGTTAGGAACCAGGGTTTGATCTCCAGTGCTGGCTGCAGGGCCTGGCTCTGTAGCCCCAGGAGAGGAGGGAGGTTCACAATCCTTTTCCTGAGAGCAATAGTATTATACCACCCTTGGGGGCCAGGAGGAACTTTGCATTTAATTAATTAATTAACATTTGTATAGCATTTTTGTCACATGTATCATCTCAGTCTTCACTGCCCCTGCCCCCCACCCCCTGCCTTGGGTGATGGTATTTGCCCTGTTTTATGGATGAGGAAATGTGTGTGCTAAGGCTCTAAATACCTACCTGCCCTTATGGAAAGGTGGAGGGCGTCTCCCTGATTTAATTAGCCGATTTATTTAATTATTTATTTAATTTAATTTTTTTATTTTTTGAGACAGGGTCTCTCTCTGTCACCAGGCTGGAGTGCAGTGGTGCAATCATGGCTCGCTGCAGCCTGGACCTCTCAGGCTCAAGCAGTCCTCAGCCTCCTGAGTAGCTGAGGCTACAGACATGTGCCACCACACCCAGCTAATTTTAAAATATTTTTTGTAGAGGTGGGTCTGGCTATGTTGCCCAGGCTGGTCTGGAAGTCCTGGGCTCAAGTGATCCTCCTGCCTCGGCCTCCCAAAGTGCTGGGATAATAGGCGTGAGCCACTGTGCCTGGCCTAATTAGCTGACTTAATTAGACCACGAAGCTAGGCAGTGGTCCTGAGCCCAGGTCCTTGCACCCAAATGCCTCGTTCTTCTGCTTGACTAAGGAAGCTGTTTAGCATCGTGACTGAGGCCCCAGGCTTTGTGGCTTGACAGTTTCCTTCACCTTCCAGTTTCCTTGTCTGTAGAATGACTCCTCACAGAACCCCCTCCGCAAGACTGTTGTGAGGAACGATTGGAACGGTGCGTTTAAGTCACCTGGCACACGCTGACTACTTGGTTAACACAGGTATTATTATTGAACTCAGGAACAACCAGTTTTTACAAGGGGATGGGCACATGAAACCATTTGAGACTGTTTCGAAACACCTGTGTTAGGACCTACCCTACGCCTTCTGGATCAGAATGTCTTTGTCTTGAGAAAGGCAGCAGGAGGCGAGGCACGCGTGTTTGTTCTGATGCCCTCCTTTGATGAGAATCGTTACTCTGGTACTCACTGCTCAGTATTCCAGAGTCTTGCTGCTCGAAGTGTGCTCTTGGACCAGCTGTCAGCACTTCAGGTCCCCTTCCTTCTGCATCAGAATCTCCTTCTAAAAAGATCCCCAGGAAATTCAAATGCTCATTAAAGTTTGAGAAACACTGTAAAGGTTAAAAAACATATAATAAAACAAATATCCACACATACCACCCACACCCATTTAGGAAAGAGTTGTTCTCTAGTTGTTTTGCAAACACAGAGTAAACAATCATGTTGTAATACCCAGTATCTAGGATTTGTTTAAAGAAGTGCTGGGAACATAACAGATAAGGGAGGCCAACCTGAGAACCGGGGACCCAGAACAGGACTCATTAGGGAGGGACTCAAATCTCAGAGTCAGAACAGGATTAAATAGAGGGCCAGGAGTCAGTTCAAGCCAGGTGGCCATCCATCACAGCTGTCTGCAGTCTTCTGGGGTGGGGACAGAGGTGCTGGCCCTTGGGGCTCCCCCACCTGCCCATGCCAGCACTCTGGGGGCTTAGCTCCTCCCTTTGTACCAGGCACGTCCAGAGCCCTGGCTACCCGGATCCGATCAGCAGCTCTGAAGCACAGCCTGCCAGCTGGCGGCTCCTCCTTCTCCAGGCTGTTCTCTGGGCTTCAGATTTCTCACTCGCCCTCTCCCGCACTGACCTTGCAGCTTCTCCTTCTCTCCAGACGGGCGATTGCCGGTTGAGGAAAAAATGCTTGAAGGGCCAAGCACAGGGACTGGAAAGCAGGAGGAAAAAGCAGAATGGTCCTGTGGTCCATGTGTGTATTTAGGGGTGAGGGCAGATACAGGGAGAGTTGGAGAGGAAGGCTGGGGAGTCACTTGTGTGGCCCCGATCCTCTAGTTAAAGCTCCAGTGATGGACGCGTCGTGTGTCCTATAGACTCTGGCTCAGACGCTGTTGTTGGGTCCTCACCTTGGGTTGGTCACTCACTAGGACCCTCTTGGAGATGGATCTCGAGAGCGATGAGGAAGAGGCAGAGGGGACGGTGGGAGGAGGGGGTCGAAGTCAGGGTCAGGAGGCAGATTTGGTCCCCTCTGTATAGCGATGGTGGAGAGGTCATTGGGTGTGTCATGCAGTGACTGCACAGTCAGTCCCAGCTCCCCTGCTTTCTTACCCTGGGACCTTCATTGACCTGAGCCTCAGCTTTACCATTTGCAGAATGGGAGAACTATAACAGAACCCACCCCATGTGGTTCTTTCCAGGGTTCTTGTCTGGATTCATTGAGCTCTAATGCATATGAGTACTTAGTGCCAGCACTAAGCGTTTGCTGGTATCACTCTTCCAGGATGACAGCTACCACTCAGTGCTTCATAGGTGGTAGGCACTGGCCTAAGCTCATTACAAGCACGAACTCCTTTTATTCTTTTTTTTTTTTTTTTTTTTTTGAGACGGAGTCTGGCTCTGTCACCCAGGCTGGAGTGCAGTGGCCGGATCTCAGCTCACTGCAAGCTCCGCCTCCCGGGTTCACGCCATTCTCCGGCCTCAGCCTCCCGAGTAGCTGGGACTACAGGCGCCCGCCACCTCGCCCGGCTAGTTTTTTGTATTTTTTAGTAGAGACGGGGTTTCACCGTGTTAGCCAGGATGGTCTCGATCTCCTGACCTTGTGATCCACCCGTCTTGGCCTCCCAAAGTGCTGGGATTACAGGCTTGAGCCACCGCGCCCGGCCACGAACTCCTTTTATTCTTATCACAACTCTGTGGTGTAGGTACCACTATTACCTCCATTTCAGGTGAGAAAACTGAGGTGCAGCCAGGTTAAATAATTGTGCAGTTACTAAGGGGTTGAGCTGGGATTCAGACTTGGGCAGTTGGTCTGGAGTCCATGTTTCCTGTCACTGCCATCCCAGTTATTAGTCATCATTTTGTAGTTGGAGCCCAGTAGACATGGAGAAGAGGCAGGTGAGAGGCGAGAGGAGGTGGTCCTACCCTCTCACTGTTCCAGCTGTCGCCTGAGGACCTGCCAGTATACCTAGGCTGGGGCTGCCCTGCTCGTCCAGGTGACCTGTGCTCCTGGAAGAGACTGGCCTTGGTCATAAAATGGACAGCTCTACTCCCAGGCCTGCTGCCCTTCCTGGTGGCCTTTGCCACTTTCCTATGTTCGCGGCAGCAAAGTGGTTCATCTCTAGCAAGTGGTCTCTAACTTTCCCAGGCAGAGTCCCTGTCTGCAGGGCAGGCTCCCTACCCACTGGCTTCCTGGAACAGAAACCAGGCCGCCACGAGGGAGGGACAAGCTGTGGGCCTATAACGTTTTCTCAAGAAACACGTGGTGGTTTCTTGCCAGGCAGGAAATGTTTGTTTCCACATCATAGCCACCTGAACCATGTCTGATCCTTCCTTGTTCCTCGTCTGTCTCTCTGTGCACCCCAGGCACCCAGGCATGTGGAAGATGCTCATAGTGGTGATGTGCGTGGCCCTTCTGGGCTGCCTGCAGGCCCAGGAGCTCCAGGAACATGTCTCCATAATCCTGCTGGGAGCCACTGGGGACCTGGCTAAGAAGTACTTATGGCAGGGACTGTTCCAGCTGTACCTGGATGAAGCGGGGAGGGGCCACAGTTTTAGCTTCCATGGAGCTGCTCTGACAGCCCCCAAGCAGGGCCAAGAGCTCATGGCCAAGACCCTGGAATCCCTCTCCTGCCCCAAGGACATGGCACCAAGTCACTGTGCAGAGGAAAAGGATCAGTTCCTGCAGCTGAGCCAGTACCGCCAACTGAAGACGGCCGAGGACTATCAGGCCCTGAACAAGGACATCGAGGCACAGCTCCAGCACGCAGGCCTCCGGGAGGCTGGCAGGATCTTCTACTTCTCAGTGCCACCCTTCGCCTATGCAGACATTGCCCGCAACATCAACAGCAGCTGCCGGCCAGGCCCGGGCGCCTGGCTGCGGGTTGTCCTTGAGAAACCCTTTGGCCATGACCACTTCTCAGCTCAGCAGCTGGCCACAGAACTTGGGAGCTTTTTCCAGGAGGAGGAAATGTACCGGGTGGACCATTACTTGGGCAAGCAGGTGAGCATCAGCGTGGAGCCTGCCAGGGCTAGGGTGAGCTGGATGCTGGTAGACCCCAGCAACAAGGCCACTCACTCATTGTGGAGCTAGGCCCCAGGGCATTGTGAACTCAGAGCTCCCGTGGTCTCCTTGAGGGTAGGCAGGAGGCGAGGGGGTAAAAGAAAGACAGCAGCAGGGCAGGACTGTTGGGTCCTTGTCCATGTATCTGGCCTCTTTTGTCCTCTGCATAGCCCCCATTCTCTTTGTTTCCCAGTCTGGGCTCTGGCTTCTCACGGTTGCCCTGCATCCTCTGTGGAGGCGGCCCAGCAACTCTGGTGTCTGGACCTGGCTTCCTGTTGGGTGTGCTGTGGGAATTAGAACGAGCTTTCTTCCGCACCCATCCACCTTTTTTTTTTTTTTTTTAAGACAGTCTGCTCTGTCCCCAGGCTGGAGTGCAGTGGCACGATCTCGGCTCACTGCAACCTCCGCCTCCTGGGTTCCAGCAATTCTCCCGCCTCAGCCTCCCAAGTAGCTCAGATTACAGGCACGCATCACCAGGCCCGGCTAATTCTTTGCATTTTTAGTAGAAATGGGGTTTCACCCTATTGGCCAGGCTGGTCTCGAAATCCTGACCTCAAGTGATCCGCTCGCTTCGGCCTCCCAAAGTGCTAGGATTACAGGTGTGATTACAGGGCACCCTGCCCCATCTACCTTTTTTCAAAATCTTTTTCTTCCTAAGTTGTGTTTTGAGCCAGAAGGTTGGCAACAAGAGCTTAAACCAGGGAGTAGTAGGACTCTAAGCCCTGGGCAGGGGCATGGGGTAACCTCATGGATACATGTGCGTTGACCAGTTCACTCAAAATGCCTTGGAGGCCCTTGGGCACATCCTGTCCCAGGAACCCCAGCAGAGAGCGCAGCAGCCCTGTGTTCTGGTACATGGTGCTGGTGGGCATAGGTAGTTGCTGAGGACAGAGACATGGCTTTCCATCCCACCCAGCCTGGAGTTACCCATAGTAGGATTCCTAAGTAGTGGTCCTCAGAACTGGGCCAGTCCTGGGGAGATTTTCACTTGTTTATAGTAAGATGAGAAGAAATACTGAATGTGCTCAATTCGAAGCTTTTCTTGCTACATTTTTGGTGTTAAACCTGTCTTTATTTTATTAAAAATTGTAATAGAAGATAGGTAATTTTAACTATTTCTTTTCTTGGCAAAATACAAATCTGGTAACCCTTTGGAGGTCACTTGCAAGTTTTTGGAACCTTTACTGGCCTGTGAGATCCTGAAGTCCAGAACTGCTGCTCGGAGGGCATCTTCTGCTCTGAGCAGGGAATAGAGAGGTCGGAGCCCTTCCCAGGAGTCAGGGTTCCTCCTTCATCACGAGAGGAACCTGCAGCATGCCCAGTCTTCCTCCTGACAGGCCGTGGCACAGATCCTGCCTTTCCGAGACCAGAACCGCAAGGCTTTGGACAGCCTCTGGAACCGGCACCACGTGGAGCGGGTGGAGATCATCATGAAAGAGACCGTGGATGCCGAAGGTGTGTGATTGGCCTGGCGCGCTCGGTTCCCCAGCCTCTGCCTGCCCGCTGTCTGCGGTGAGGCGTGGGGCGCTTCTCAGAGGGAGGTTTTCTGTGGGCCTGTGGTCTCCCTTCGAGCCTGCCATGTGCCTAGCTCTGGACCGGGCTAAACCCCAGGGTGCCAGCTGGCAAAGCCCAAGTAGCCATTGCTGCCCATGGGGAGTGTATCGTCCAGAGAAGTAGACGTGGCACAGAGGCAGGAAACCACTGGCATGCGGTAGAGGCTGGAGTCCCCCTGAGATCCCCCTGAGTTTTTGAGTGTGTAGAGACCATGGGAGCTGCGTGAGGGCTTCTCCAACTGTGGTGCTTGCAGCCGTGGCACCCCCTGCCTAGGGTACTCCCTGTCGTGTCCCCCTCACCTCCTGACCCCTCTGTCGCTTGTCAGATCTCAGCTCCATGGCCCTCCAGGAAGCCTTTCTGAGCCCTGCAGACCCACTCCCCTCACCCGCACGGCGCCACACGCCTCCCTCCCCTGCCCTGCATGGTGTTACCCTTGCCTCGTCCTTTTCCACCCTGTCCTTCCTGCCAGCCTGTAGGCTCCAGGAGGACACCGCCTCTCCGGCACCTGCCTCACACCTCAGACACGCTGAGTAAACACCCGGGAGGTGGGGGGCCCTGCGTCAGGCCCACCTCTGCCTTCAGCTGGGTTTCTTCAGCATGTCACTCCCTGCAGCTGTGAGATGAGCATGTCCTGTCAATGAGGACAGCTAAGGTCCCTTTGGGACCTGGCATTCTGTGATGGTAGCAAAGTTTTGGAGCATTGACCGTGAAGATGGAAAGCTCTGGCTCTTGCCCAGTAATGATAACAGCTAAAGTTGACCGTGTCCCCAGTCCCCCAGCCGCCGGGTGAGGTGCGCGCTGTTATTAGCCTCCTTACAGATGAAGATGGTGGCGAGCCCACAGCCCCACAGTAGAAGGTGGTGGAGCCTGATCCTGGGGGCAATAGTCTGGCCCCAGCACTCAGGCCTGGCGCCGCCGCCCTGTGCTGCCAGCGCTGCGTCAGTGGCCAGCTCATCCCCACAGCCGCTTTCTGCAGCTGCAGCGGGAGCACCCGAGGCCACTGCCCTCCCCCCCCAGTCCCCGCAGTGCGTGCCCGCCACAGGGCAGGGCCCGAGCCCTGGACCCAGGGATGGGCCAGGAGGTTTCTCCTCTTTTTCTGTCTACCTTGCTCTTTCTCTGGGCCATTTTCTCTTTTTCTTTCCCCCACCTTGGTTTCTCTCTTCAGCTGTTTCTCCATTCCTCTCCGAATGTGTATTTAGTGTCAGAAGCTCTCTGCGGGGCTGAGGTGCCACAGTGAAAACTCAGCCTCTCAGATATGGCTCCCTCATACTGCCCAGATTCACGGGTGCTGTGAGGGTGGTGATCTCATCACACCGGCTGGCGGGACAAACTCCAAAATGCAGCCGGGCGCCGTGGCACACCCGTAGTCCCAGAAACTCGGGGACAGAGGCAGGAGGATCATTTGAGCTCAGGTGTTGGACACCAGCCTGGGCGGCGTAGCGAGCCCCTGTCTTTGAAAAAGGAAACAAAATGGGTGACGGGTGTTGCAGGCAGGTAGCGTGGTCGGGGGGACAATGTGGGGGGTGGGTGGGATTCCAGGCAGGACTTCCCAAGCCAGGCCTTGAAGGACATTGCTGAGCTCGAGAAGGCACTGGCTTTCTCTACTCCAGAACCCACAGCAGAAAAGAGGCCCTGCCCCCTGCAGTGGGTCACAGGGAATCGTCCTCCAGCCCTTCCAAGTTTCCCTCCCAGTCCTCAACAGGGCGCCTGTCATGGGTTTCCCCCCATGCCTGTCTGTGCCTGATATCCCAGCAGGCACGTGTGCTGGGCCTATCCCTGCTTCATCTTCAGAGAAGTGAGCTGCACCTGGTGCAGAAAGCCTGGAGCAGAATGGGAGGGGCCCTGCCCCTGCTGCAGCCAGTGGGCTGGAGCCTGCCCTTCTCTACCTGGACTTGGCCCCATCCCCAGCAAGGCTGGGAGACCAGGATTCCTCTCCTCTCCCCTTTCTGGCAACTCCTTCCTGTCCCCGCCCTGGGCTGGGGAAGAGCCATGATGTCTGGCGTTACGTGTTGGTGCTGTTGCCTCTTAGTTCTTCCAACCCTCCCACCGTTTCCTTCTTGGTATGTAGTGTCCATTTGTGGGTTCTGTGTGGGTCCCGTGGAGCCAGGGACCAGGCAGCTTGCAGGCCTGATTATCCTAGCAAAGGTACTTTTGGATTTTGGAGAAAGAAACATGGAAGATATGAAAGACAGACAGGTGGAGCTCTGGGCGGGTCTGTTTGCCGAGACAGTCTGAGGATGTTGAGTTTGAACAGCAAAACAACAGCCTGGGCTGGCTGTCCTCAAGGTCCAGGAGGGAGAGCCACTTGGAGCCCTGTTGTCACAGCTGCGGGGACTAAAGGAGGTCCAGCCTTGCCTGCCATGTGGTGCTCTGGGGGAGGGTCCGCTGCTCCTAAGCTTCAGAGTCCAAGGCCTTTAGTTCAACTGGGCCCTGCACCTTCAGCCCAGGGGCAAAGGGAGCCTCAGCGCAGGACAGGCAGTGGGGGATCCACTAGTCCTGGAGGCTTGCAGCCTGTTGTGCTGAGGCCAGAGTGGGGCTCGTTTAGTCCATGCTGCTTGTCAGAAGTGGCCAGCAGGACTGCAGCCGTCCTGGGGTTTGGGCCTCACTCATTGGCTTGTTTACCTGCCATTTACTGGCAGGCCCTGCCTAACTCATAGCAGGGAGGGACTGCCTGCTGCTGTGCCCAGCCCCCCAGCAAGTGGGCCTTGGACACAGGGTGCTTTGGCAACAGAATGAGCTTGCTTGCTGTCTCTCTCGGTTTTGTGTGCCTGCGTGCCAGAGGACACATTCTTTCTACATCCCAAGAAGGTGGCCTGGTACCGCCCTGCTGGCCCAAGCACTGCTCTGTGCTGTCTTCTCTGGGTCCTGCTTTGGAGCCAGTCCCTCAGGGGGCCCCCGTCGGTAGTTCAGGCTGGAGAGAGGGGACAGGCACCGCAGACCTGCAGCACACCCCAGCATGGCCAGGAGCCCTGTGCCCAGCACAGCAGGGCCTAGGCTGCCACTGCTGCCCCGGGTGAGGACAGGAAACAGGCAGGAGGAGATGCTGCCTTCTACTGGAGTTTGGTGGACTTGGCAGGCGAGCGCCACTGCAGTGGGGCTCAGCGTGGGCAGAACGTTTCCAAGGCAGGATTCAGAGCCCCGTGGTCTGACTGCTAAGCAGAGGGGCAAAGTGCACAGCAGGCCATTCTCCCCAGCTCCCCACCCCACACACACCACAGGCCATTCTCCCCCACTCCCCACCCTGTGCTCTGCCCCTGCCAAGGATTCCGGTGGATCCCAGCTGCCCTCCACCCCCGCAGTGGTGCAACCCTAGCTGACTCCTAGGCAGGAGTGGCACCTGCGTAACCCAAGCCAGCACCCTGAGTGCTGGGAAGGGAGGAGGCTGCAAGCCAGGCCTGGGAAATGGAGCATTCCTGGTCCAGAGCTGCCGCAGGCCCCAGGAAAGGGACTTCTGAGCTGCAAGGTCGTTTGGATGTCTTCCCCCATCCGTATCGCACACATCTAAGTGGGTGGAAGCCGGCTTCCCCGGCTCCCTCCCCGCCGTCCTCCATGCTGGGTGAGTGCTTTTTTTTTTTTTTTCTTGCTGCAGCCTCTGGCCCAGAGGAGTTTGCTGCGGAGTCAAGGCTACTGCACAGGCCGGAGGGGGTGGGGAGGAGGAAAGGAAGCAGGGATCTGGTACCCAGCTCCCCTCAGCCTGACCTGGGGTGCTTCTCCTGTGTGTCCCAGTCTGTGAGCCCCTGAGAGGCACAGCCACCCAGGGTACCCTGGCTGGGGTCTCTGAAGCAGCATGGGCCATAGAAGGAGAGTCACTGAGCCTCCTTCATCCCAGAGATGACCCTGGCTGGCCCTCATCATGGCATCGGGAGGGCTCTGCAGACAGGTGGGCCCATGTGATTAATGGGCTGTGTTCAGCTGTCTGGGTCCGGCTGCCTTTTCTGTCGGGAGTGCTGGAATTGGAACCGAGGTCTCGGGCACCTCAGAGCCCAAGCCTCTAGTCACTGAGCTCCACAGCCTCCCAAGCTGGCCAGGCCTTCAGCAGTTGGCCTCCCTGCTGGAACGCACTCAGGGCCAGTCTCACTGCTGCCCTAGTTTCCCCTCTGTGTAGAAGGCCTGTTGTTGTTGTTAGAAAGAAGGAGGGAGACTTCCTGAGGATGTCACTGCTGGGAGGGTCCCTGTCCTGACATGGGGAAAGGAGCCTGATGCTTGCCCCACCTCTGAGGGCCGGAGTGACCGTTCAGTGCCTCTCACTGAGGGACCAGGGCAGCCAGGGTCCTTCCAGGCACACACCAGCTGTCCCGCCTTCCATCCTGGTGTGCCAGAAGGGGCCAGGAGCTCGCTCAGCAGGGCCAGTTCCCCTTCTCGCCCCATCTGCAGAGCTGTCTGCGAGGTGAGTCCAGGGCAGCTGCTGGATCTCCTGTCCAGAGAGAGCACCAGCCAGCACACTGCGCTCTCCTTGGCCCTCACCTCTTTTTATTTTTAGTAATCCCAGAAGGTGTTGATAGGGATTGCAGCTGGCTCTTAGTTGTTTGTCTTTTTTTTTTTTTTAATCTATTTTTGTTGGGGAAACCTGGATTTCCCACAATGTGGAAGCAATGAGGAGGGGGTTTCTGGTCCTGGTTCTGAAGGCTCTGACCTTCAGCACACCTCTATACAATGCTGATAGCCCCGGTCCCTCTCTCTCGGGTAGTTTTAAGGATTAAATCAGATAATGCACACGGAAATACGTTACAAATGGAAGTGTTGTTCTTCTTCCAAGTTTGCAAGGAGAGGCAGCGGCAGTGTGTCTGAGTTCCACATGACTTATATTGGATTATTATATAAATCCTGTAAATTGATCTGTCATACTCTTTTATGTCCATTCTTTATGTCATATTTCTCTCTCACATATACACACACAGTTG